CGCGGGACTGCCCCGCGCCCGCTGTGTGAGAGGGAGGATGGTGCCCGCCGTCTGCCGCCCTTCTCCTCTCTGCTGGCTGTTTGTAGGGTCCCCGGGGAGAGACGGATGAGGAGATTGTTCACCTAGTTACTTGTACAGCACGTTACTTCACGGTATCGTTGTCTCCCAAGTCACTGGGAGGGCTGTCAGGGGATAAATTAAATCATCAGGCAGTGGTAGAGTAAAGCGTTTCTAGGTAGTAGTAATTAGAGTCATAGAATCATAGAATGGTTTGGGTTGGAAGGGACCTTAGAGATCATCAAGTTCCAACCCCCCTGCCATGGGCAGGGACACCCTCCACTAGACCAGGTTGCTCAAATCCTCATCCAGCCTGGCCTTGAGCACCTCCAGGGATGGGGCATCCACAGCTTCCAGGAGATGTTCCACTTTCTAAGGATATTTTCCCCCAATTTGAGTATAAATGTGGATACCTAAGAAGGTGTTTATCTCTCGTTACCCTGTGGTAAATAGGAAGAGGAAGCATGTTGGATAGTTTTTAGGAATACTTTCACACGGGTTAAAAGTTTGTATGTGGACTCATGAGCATGTCTGTCGTGTTTTGTAAGGAGCACTGTTTTGAAGAATGTCTGGAAGTTTCTACTTTGTGATAGTTGGTCATCATGATAATCCCATATTTGAAATGGAATTTCTGCCTCCTGGAAAAGCAGAGTCCAAGGTGTGTTTTTTCCCCTGTGATACTCCTATGATGTAATTATGGTGCATTTTCTTTTATAAGTTTACAGTGCCTTAGAAGTATGACCAGCATGTTATTAAAAGTCTTAGTAGTATATAACGTTTTCTGGATTTTTTACTGAAACTTTGTCATAGGGAGTAGAACTCTGGAGTTCTTGAATGTCTTAAAAATTCTTTGCCACATCATACTAGTTCTTCCTAAAATGTGGTTTCCTTAAATATTTGATGCTCAATGGTGAAGAATACATATGCTAGTCATGCTTTGGTCATTGCTCTTGGTGTATAGAGCTTTTTATAATAGTTGTTCATTATTTAATGCTACATTCACTCATTCTTTAAGGCATCTGTATACAGTAATAAGGTAAAGTAACGAACATAAATTTGAAAGGTCTATTCAGCCCTTTATTTTTTATGCTATAAAAAAATCTTATTTTTTAATCATCTGCAGTAGTCATACTTGGTTTTAAGTAAGGAAGGCTTTAAAGCTTGTATGGATAAATACGAGTTTGAAAATGTGAGAAGAGTAAGACTACTCAATAAGTAGCGTTTCCAGTGGGAAAAGAACAAATCCGTCCATTGTGATATTACATCAAAGAAGAAATAGACTTGAGAATAAAAGTGTGTGGATCTGTTAGTGTGTCCAAAAATTGAAGTATATGCTGTCACTGATTTGAACAGCATGGCACGATCTGTATTTCAAAGTAGTGTCCCATAAAAGATTGTGAATAAAGCTAGTCAGACTAGACTTAGTGAGTGTGAGGATGTGTCAGATAATGAAAAAAAAATATTTTCTGTATTCTGCTAATGGAAATTTCTTGGCTTGGGTAAGTTATTTGTCTAACTGAGAGTACTAAATTTTGTCCTAAGAGAGAAGCTAAACTTGATGTGCGCTGAAGGAGAACTAGTAGACATTGATATGTTTTGGCAACTATCGCTTCTGTTTCTGAGGCATGCCATTTAAAAGTTAATTCAGTGCAGATGCACAGCTGCCTGGAATAAGTGGTTTGCATAATGTACGTGGTAAATCAGGAGAGCTTTTGCCCCTTAAACTTCACTACTTTGTCTCTTCCTCAGTATGGTTTAATGGAACTGGCAAAGCTGTTAATGCCCTGATCCAAACCTAACTTGGGGGAAAAACATAGTACACAGCATCCCTCTATTATGAGAAATAGTGCAAAGCTACTTATGTTTCCAGTCTAATAGAAGCTGACAGTATGGTTTAGTCCCATGTTTCATCTTGGCAGATGTCCTCCAGTATTCTGGTTTGTATACAAAGTAAGTGGCTCTTTCCCCACATGACTTTTGCAGTGTTAGGGCCAAATGCTGTGATTACTCTATGAAGGCAATTCATGTTTATTATAGGAAGAAGTGTAACTTATATCTGCAAGCATATACTTAATACCAGTTGCAGGATGTTTTTGTGTACTAGGCTCGTATGAAAAAGAAAACCCCCAAAACAATTTCAAAAATCCCATGTTTCTAGGCAAATAACCTGAAAAAATAGAATCTTTAGGTGAGAATGTTGTCAAAGTTATCTGTCTTCTGTATCTCTTTGCTTTCCCCATCTGTCCCTCAACTTTTACACATTGTAACCTGTTGTTCAATTTCTGCCAAATTGGAGAGAGACCTTATGGTCCAAAAAATGCTACATTGCTGTAAATTTCACAAAAACAGGTGACTGGAAAGCAGAGAAAAAGACTTTTGTCCGGGCCTCTGTTGTGGAATAAGTTTGCAGTGGGAAATTACACATTGGTAAACAAAAGTTTTCATCCTTGAATTAATTTCTGAGCTATAAGTATAGGCTTTATTGGTTTTGCTGCTCTCAAGACTGTTTTTGTGATACCTTTTTTTTATGACCTTTTTTCTCCCTTGAAACCAGGTATAGTGACAGTATGTGCTAGTTTCTTTTAATTACAGGATGGCACGTGGCAGAAAAGAAGGGTATATATAACTTAATGTAACTCGAGCACTGGTTGCTTAGCAACTTGAGGAAATTGTGTCTATTTCACTCCTTTCACTGGATTACTAATCCTCTGTCTTCTGCAAATGTATTAGGATGATCATCGCCATCTCAACCAGTTCATTGCCCATGCTGCTCTTGACCTGGTAGATGAGAACATGTGGCTTTCTAACAACATGTATCTGAAGACTGTGGACAAGTTTAATGAATGGTTTGTTTCAGCTTTTGTCACAGCTGGACATATCCTTCCTTCTTCTCTTTCCTTACAAAGGAAAAGCCTTTTGCCAGAAAGGGTTAAGTTAGATTAAATAAGTTTGGAACAAATTGCGCTGGCTATTCACCACATTATTGCTAGAGAGTCACCAGCTTCAGGATGAAGTAAGCTGGAAGGCACAGCAGTTGTTGAAAATTGTGACCAATTGGAAAGATGGACTTTTCCTTTTGGAGGAGCTGAGATAGCCTAATGAAATACGGAGCTCATATGGAGTTAGAGGAAAGAGGAATGAAAGGGGAATAATGTGAGAGGGTCTGAGCAAGCGTAGAGGATTCTCTGCTCTCATCCCTTTGACAGTGCTAGAGAGGAGAAGCGGGGATAAACACACTTGGTGTCAATCACATGCATCTTGAAAATGGTGTCAAAGCTTGATCTTATGTACAGATAGTCCTAGAAGTGTTTTTGTTATATGTAGGAAGTAACATTGAATGCCATTTTAACTTCAGGGGTATATGGCAGAGGTGCTGAGAACATCATCCACATTCAGAACTGTCTAGCTTTAAAAAGAATAACCTTGAATAAAGAGGTGATTATTCTTATTTTCAAATTGGAGAATTTTAAAATACAAAGGTGATGCTTTCTAAATTTCACTGCTCCAGTTACTTCTAATGCTTCCTTCTGTAGTCGCTGCTGTTTCATGTACAGCTAAACGTTTTAAGTACATGCAGAATTAGGTGTAAATGCTTATCTCAGGATATGTTAAATGTCTCTCTTCTTTGAAAAAGTTACATTTTCCTTAATAGCTTTACATATGAGATTTATAATGCTTCATGATGTAAGGCAAGAAGATGGAATTAAGAATTTCTTTAATGATGTATATGACCTGTATATAAAGGTAAGAACCCACTTCTTATGGTCTCACTGCAGCACTTTTAAGTGTGTTCTCCTGTACGTGCTCAGGCATGCCTGCGTTAACATGTTTTCTTGTGGGGACCTGTGGAAGAGGAGAAGCATCCACGCTGTCTGCATTGGGCAGAGTCGATAATGTGTGACATAAAGGCTCTATTTTCCATTAACGGAATAGATTTTTAAAAAAATTATTATAAACTGTGGTCTTTCAGAATTTGTTTTCATTTTAGTTCCGTGATTTTGGACAGCATTATATCAGTAATGGTGATAATGACAGCAAAGGACCGTTCTGCAGACGCCTGGGCTGCTTTGCTCTTTGCTCTTGGAACGAGTAGCCCGTGTTCTCACAGCCTGGCTGTACTTCCACTAGATGGGGCAACGGCAAGAGCTAGTTGGAAAAATCGCCATCTCGGCCTCCTGCAGGGACTTCAGTGATGCTAACTGCCAAAACAGAAACTTCCACCAGTGTCATGATGGATTTGTGCTGATGAGCTGGTTCAAAGGGATGGCCGTGCACATATATGGGGAGAATGCAAGGGCCTGGATAGCAAGGGACTTGCTCTTAAGTGGCACTAAATAGGCTGAAAGCTAATACAGTTGCTGTTTGAAATAGCATTTCCCAGTGCTGGGCATTTGTGCTTATTGATGAATTTTTCTTTTTTCCTCAGTTTGCAATGAATCCATTTTATGAACTCAATTCTCCTATTCGATCCAGTGCCTTTGAAAGGAAAGTGCAGTTCCTTGGGAAGAAACACCTTTTAAGCTGAATAAATTTCCTGAGTGAGCGCTTTTTACATACTTTCCTGATTATTTGAACTGTAGCTCTTCTGGTTAGTTCTCAGCATGTTTGATATTCATCTTCTGAAGACTGACAAATCAGATGCTGAAGAAGCTTTTTTTTTTTTTTTTTTTTTTTTTTTGCAGATTAAGTTAAGAACAGCCAAGCTTCTCTGGTTAAAACATGTATCTTAATAAGTTTCCTTTTATATGCTATGAAAACTGTTGTAAGTTTAAAAATGTTGTGCAGCTGACTAAGTACAAACTGAGACATGTAGGTGTCAATGCATATGGAAAATGTAAGCCTCTTATAGAGGGTGGGAGGAAATCAAATCTAAACACAAAAGACATCTCCAGACATGAGATTTAATATGAGCAAAAGGGAATTCTTGACTTTTGGGCCTAAGTAGTTAATTTTGTTATAAATTTTTCTACTTACATTCCTTGGCTAGAGAAGTTACTCTGCAGACTAACCAGACTTACCTTACTCATTGTGGTATTAAATCAGGTCTGTATTTATTCTGTAATGTGTAATGTATGTATTATAAAGTGCTCAATAAAAAGAGGATATATCAGCAAAGCTCTGTCTTTAGTATCTCAAGAAGTTTTGAGAAAAAACCTTCAAAGCTTTGAAGCTTAAAACTTCAAATTTACCAGATGTTTAGTGCAATACATGTTTAGCCGCAGCACTGCGTAAGTGAAATGAATGAATGAAGTAGACCAGAACAGCTATGGCTGCCCTGACTTTAATTCTAATTCACACATGGAAAAAAACAAACTAAATTTACACGTTTAAGCCCATTTCTTTCCATTTTCTGTGCAAGTGCTGAAATCTTTTTTGAAAATATATTTAGAGTAGGATCTTTGAACCATTAAACACTATTTGTTGACATTTCAGAAAGGCATTATTTGACCTATCTGGCTACTATTCAGTTGTAAAATGTAGTTAGGGACCCTTCTGTAAAACTTACAATCATTCCAAAACAGTGATTTTTTTTTTTTTTAAGTGGGTGACTTCGCATGTATGTACCTAATATTTTGGTTGGTTTCACACTCTTTTAAGTAGTCTGTTTCCTTTTGTAGCATATTTGTATAAGCTATCTTCTTGGACTTTTTTTTTAAATGTCTGAAAAGTGATTTCCCAAGGAAGTGGCATGCTGTTCTAGGAAGTACATTTTGCATAGTCTGTATAGTTAAAATGACTGCATGTGTATGTGCTTTGAATGTACAGTCATTATTTCTTTGTAATTTACACTTATGCTAAACTGTCACTGTAAAATGTTCCATGAGAGAAAGAACATGATATAAAGGTTGCAATATCTACCCTAAATAAAATGTGGAATGATGCAGTATGGATGCCTGTTGAGTATACTTGAAATGATTGAGGAGAAAACTAGATGATCATGGTATGTCTACCTCTATTGGTGGGATGGCAAGTGAAGATGGGAATACTTTACAGTATTATTTCATTAAAACTGCATTGCACCATATTTTGATAATGTCATGTAATCTTAAGTAATTTTTTTTTTTTTTGCTATATACACAAAAGCAACAGAAACACACTTGAGGTAAAGCATTGTCATGTGATAAGAAGCCACTACGTTGAAGCTGTTGTGTTGTGGCAAAGATGGGTTAGTGCTAGAGTTTCCACCAGTTTTAGAAATTGTGGGTTTTTTGATTATTGTATTGTTGCCTGCCAGCACACAGTAGGAAGTTATGTAAAAGGAAAGCATTTTATTACTTACCTGATCACTGAAGGCAGTTAGCCAAATGGTGCCCAGTCTTATGCCCCCCGCTCCCCCATATGTCTTTCCCCTTTTCTTCTGAATATGGGAATTGTAAATGGGAAATGCAGTCCCATAGGTCCATCTAGGCTTTGTGAAAACAGACTGTTACTGGCCACAGGCAAGGGAGAATTATGTGGTAACTCATTACATTAATAGTTATAGAGTTTGCAGTGAGGAGCATTGTCTCATGACAGAATTCTGAAGGACTGGGGCTTAGGTAGCTGTGATTTCCCTGTGTATGGAGGAACACTTGCTCATGCTTTGGTTTGTGACTTCTTACAATAAACTGAAAGACTGTGATCTGGAAGTGACAGGTAAAAGTTATCTTGTGATCAACGACAGTCACAAATCTGTGCTGGGTCTCAATGATGCATGCATCAGACAATGAACAGTTCCTCCATGGGCAAGGCAGAAGAGAGACCTCCTTTGCAAGTATTATGTTCCTGCCCCACCTCAGAGGCTTAGGAATAAGAATTCAAATGAAATCTGTTGCACTAAGAGAAAGGAGCAGATAAGCTGTGTTATGCAATAAAGGCAAGAAAAAAGTTTGAGTTAAAGGAACTGGAATTACCTTAGATGGTATAAAAATCAAGCATAAGGAAATGAGAACATTAGCACAAGCTGAGAACATGAACCAGCCTTAATAAATATAGGCTGGAAATGCTACTTCAGACTCAAGTTTCTGCAAAGTTCTGTTACTGTTTAGGCAACCTGTCATATGATGATTTAAAGTCACACCTGTTTGGGGTACACAGCAACTGTTAAAGCAAGCAGCCTGGTTCTGGCAGCAGTCTTATGCTAAGCACCTATATACTGTGCTGTGACATAAGCTGTCAGCTGTCCTAGCTTGTTTCTTCTGCCCCTTCCTCTTTTGCTGTCTGTTCTAATATGCATAGCTTTCACCAATCCCACTGATTTGTCATCACAGTGGATTTTGTTCCTCCTTTTAAAGGAGATTTGGAACTTTGCATATGTATTACATAGTAAGCGCTGTCACTCTAAAACTTGAGGTAATTAGTACTGAAACGAATCGGTGAATTGAAACATAAGCCCCAAGTGCCTACCAAACCTCCACAGTGAATGGTAGATACTAAACTTTCACAAAGTACAGAAATGCCCATTTGTTACTAAGCATTTTTTTGTACCTATCTACATCTGCTTGTCACAGGACTTTTGCTTCTTTCACATACATGACAAGTCTCCCTCTGAGACCAGATCATGACCTCAGCTGTCATTCCTATACTGTCCTCTTTACTATAGCATGTAAACCCCCCCATAATCTTTACTGGCCACTTTTGTGATTAGCGTACAGTTGTGGTACAGCACAGTTGTACCCTTCTATTGTATTAAGTTTTATTTAACTTATTAAATTAAATGTACTTCTCAGACAGAGGCAAAGTAACCATGATATTACATGAGAAGGGGACAGATGGCAAAATAACAGACACTTTGAATCAAGGAAGACCACAATGATTTTCATCCATAGTTGTTTCCTTTTAGCAGTCTTATTTGAATCACATCTGGAGTACTCTAGTCCTGGTAACTTCACCTTCTGTTTTGCTTCAACCTTAACCTCCGCTAAAACGTACATTAAAGGAAGCTTTAAGTAGTAAGGTAGTAGTTTTACAACTTCATGTCACTAGCTTAGTAGCCCCCAACACAAGCAATCTTAGTTTTTAAAGTTTTTGCTCTCTCAGTTTAAGGTCAAGAGGAATTTAGATAAGATTTTCTTCAGAGATCTCTTCTTTCATTGACCAGAAATTAAACAGAAGTAGCAGCTCAACCTATATGTAGCTCTAAGGTGACTGAAGCTTAACACACAGTTCTGTTGCTGTATATGCAGGACTGTACAAATAAATTAGACTTAAATGGACAAAAGGTAAAAAGATGTCACTTCTAAGCAGGAGCAGCAGATCTATGGAGTAAAGTTGTCCTGAACAGGTTCAAGCAAGAATACAATACATTGAGAAAAGTGCATTAAGATCAACAAGAAGCATTTGTTTTGCAAGCTTTACTTCCAAATAATTACACCTGGTACAGACTGAACAGATATGTTAAGAGAAAACTCTTGCTGTTACCGTACTCTCAAGGCTTTTCTATTGGAACAAAAAAGTTGCTGTACAGAAACCAGAGTAGGTGTAGTTTAGCAAATAACATGGCCTGTCCTATAGGCCTCCGACTTCCTTTTGAAGTCTACAATATTGTGTACGTGCATGCCTGTTAGCAGTCAGATTACACATTGAAGCAATAGTGCACTATCGAGTTTGCTGTTACAAGGACAGGGGATACTCTGAGAGCCAACATTCAACAACTTCTCATACAAGTATCCTACCATTTAACTGCCACAGAGAGCCTCAAATACAGGTCCTGGGGTTTCATCTGAGAGACTGTCCATTAAATAGAGAATTTACTTCTGTTCATGATCATGTAACAAGTACAGTACTAGAAAAGACATTGTCTTAAATGTGTAAGTCCATATCCTAAAACAGCAAATCAACTAAGGATCAAATTCAGCTCAAAACAACCAGCTGTAGGTATTTACTTGTATTAGGGCTGAAAGCTGTCACAATCTACTGTAAGTGAAGAGCTTCCTGAGTTCTCTACGTATTGCCAATCATTAAGTTTCACAGTGCAGAGATTACTGGTAAACACATTCATAGCTCAAGTTAACAGGAGCAAGACATCTGGAACTTTAAGGCTGTATACTAAAAGTTCTCTACAAGTTTGTCATGATGTAGATCCCCTCAAGTGCTATTAAAGCTGACTGAATAAAGCATATATTTTTCATAACTAGAAACGGTTATACTTCAGTTACTCAGATTTACCTTATTGAGCAGCAACATGCTAGAGTGGGACTTAAGGCAAAGACATGTATTAACTTAAAAAATCATGAGTATCTTGCATTAAACTTCTGAAAAAATTAGCATAGCACTAGAATAGTAAATGAAAGGAAAATGGACATTAAATATGTAGGAAATTTATTTCCTACTTAAAAACCTACACAAGTTATAGCAACATTAGGCAATTAGAGAAGACCTGAAGGTACTTTATATTAACTTATAATAAACATACTAGAGATGAAGTACCACTCACAGCAAAAAGAATGTAGTGAGACTGAAGTTTAATATCTAGCATTGTTAAGAAACTGACTTCTAGTGAAACAAAAATGGAATGTTGATTTCATAAAAATATACACATATAAAAGTATCTTTGTGTCTGAATCCCAGAACAGTTTCTCCAAAGTAGTGCTTCTAGAACTTTCAAGTTTTAATTATATTCAAGGTATGTATCATTTGAGTAAAGTTGGCAAATTACATTCTTATTAATGTTTTTACTTGACACCTTCCTAAACAGAAAGTGGCACTAATTCAATGACGGGTCACTCATGAATGGAAACTTTTTCTTCTGCTTCCCCAAGAAAGCAGCAGACTATTACAATTTTACTATTAGACTGAAACCCAGTTGTTATTTTATCTATTACACCTTCCTCATCCTTTTACAGAGCAAGCTAGTCAAAAGTAATTTGGCCAAAAAAAAAAATTTAAGTCAACAACAAGATGAACTGGGTTTCGGTTTCCGATGAAGGTTTACTGTATCTGTTTGAATAAAGTGATCTGATCTGTCTTCAGAA